CACTGTGACTGCTGGATATGGGCACCAGTGACCCACGCGACCCTGAAAAGGAAGAAGCGTGTACAGAAAATGGATGGATGGATGGATTTTAATTTAACATTTAGATGTATTATTTAGATTTAACATTTAACATTTAGATATAACCTTAATTTTTCCATTCAACATTTAGATTTCTAAAGTGTGATTTTAGAAAATCTGCACTACTTTTTCAAACATTGTTTAAATGTGACAAATTTTGCTGTTAATTTTAGCATAAACCGCTTTATAAACCARGTCTATTAACAACATAAATTCAAGAAATGTCAAATTTTTATCAAATTTATTCTTTCAAAACTACTTATGCATTTAGATATTTTTTTCTTCTTCTGTGTCTAATGAAAAATTTCTCAGACTTCCCTCTTCCCCTGTACTGGGACAATATGGCTGATAATGAAAAATTTAAAGAAGTTGTTTTGGAGCCTTCCTCTGCAGAGTARTTGGCAGTGCAGCAAGCTTTCAAGAAAACGGTCCAAAAAACTATCCTGAAAGTGAGTTTCAGATTTTTTTTTTCTATTTGCATCATCAGTCATCTCGTTTGCATGCTGAAATAAGTTTTATACATGCATAATGACTGACTTTCTGATACACGTGTAAAAACAGTAACTGAACTAATGGTTTCAAGAGTGAAATACCTTTTCATACTGACTTGTCCTGGTTCTCTCCTTTTAAGATTGAGCGTTTGCAGAATGTTCACCTGCGTCGTGTTTATGAAATGCAGAAAAYGCACATTTCTGAAAAAAACAAATTAGAAGGGGGAGCAGGGGAAAGGCTACTGTACCATGGGACGAGCCAGGAAAACTACAACTCTATCAAAATGAAGGGGTTCAACAGGAGCTTTTCTGGMAAAAATGGTAATGTATATAGTTGGTAAAAGGTATCTTTCTTGAGTTAGTCAGTTTTAAATTTAGGTTCTTGACACCCTACAATATAAATTTCCATATTTTTCAACTTCTCTTTCATTTTGCCATTCACAGCAGCTGTTTATGGACAAGGAACCTATTTTGCCGTAAACGCCAACTACTCAGCCAACTACTCAAGACCAGCAGCTGACGGTACTCAGGCCATGTTTGTGGCTCGAGTCCTGATGGGCGTCTACACTGTGGGCCAAGTCAACATGAGGGTGCCTCCGCCTCGCAATGGCAGTGACCTTTACGACAGTCTGGTGGATAATATCAGCAACCCYAGCATTTTTGTTGTGTTCCARGATGACCAGGCCTYTCCCGACTACCTCATCACCTTTTGTTAGAGCTCCACTATTYWGAATTACAACCAATAATATCCTAAATTTAATGTCAGTACTCTGCTGCACAGTAAGATAGTCACAGAAAACCAGAAAATACAAGGGCAGCTCAACGATTTTGAATATTGTGAAAATGTTCATTTTGTCAGTTGAGAAAGTGAAACTTGTATAGTACATACAGTAGATTCACACATACAAAGTGAAACATTTCAAGTCTGTATTTCTTGTCATTTTGATGATTATGGCTTAGAAATAAAACAAAAGATTCAGTGTCTCAGAAAATTTGAATAATATTGGCTGGTGCCAGGTTCTTATTACTCCCCTTCCTCAAGTCAAGCCACCCCTGAACCAGAGACAACATCAGAGTGTCTCACCTGGGCTAAGAAAACAAGTCTGTTGCTCAGTGCTCCGATGTTCTTTGTTCACATGAAAATCATTTGGAAATCAAACTTCAGAGTCTGGATGAAGAGTGGAGAGGCACATGATCTTTATTTAGCACAAAAAGTAAGGAGATTGGTAGATTATTCTTCGTTGTACCAATGTTTCATGGCAATGGAAAGCCTGTTAATTTCCCTTTTAAATGGTGCCACATTTATAAGGAACATGCCTTTGTGGGATGAGCAGTAGAGATGAGTATTTGGACTGTGCACATGAAATATTTGCAGAATCTTCTCTGTTCCTTATCAGGTTCACGCTATGGGGTTTATAAGAAGCATTGATCCAACAAAGAAATAATCTACCAAACATGCATTTCTTTACTTTTTGTGCTAAGTTTTTGAATTTTGTTTTGTTTGTAAGACATAATCATCAAAATGACAATAAAGGCTTGAAGTTTTTCACTCTGTGATTTCAACTTTTTTCACTCACTGAGTAAAGGTAACACAGTATTGTCTTTAAGGAAATGCATAGTTAATGTAAAGTAAATGTGTTACTCAGTTCAGTTGAGAGGCAACACTTGACATTGTTTTTAAAGTAAATCCACTCAAGTGTTTTTGAGTGTGTGTAATGTTTGAGTTTCACTTTCTAAACTGACTGACAAAAACACTMTCATYTTTTAACTTTTTGAGCTGATATTTKTTTCTTTCTTGCTTAAAAGATTAACATATAATGTATTATAATCTTCATCTAAGTTTATAGATCATCAGGTTGAACAGAAAGGTTTATGTATAAAGAATTGTAATTCTAATTGTGCAGTTCAGTTTAAGCGATTGCACTCATTTTAATCAGCAAACCCTGTTTACTGCTCGCTGGTATAAAAATAGACCTGGGTCAKCTCGAAATAGATAAGGGCAGGGATTGAGCTTTACTGTAACTTGATCTATCTGGTTCCACCTACTTCCTGGTTTTGATTTATTTTTTATTTTTTTGTCTAGATTTTTCCAGACATTTTTGCAGCAGACTTTCTTTAAYTAAGCAGATTACACCAAGCCTAACTATAAAATCACACTATATRTGTTATTTGTTATTAAGTTTTAGATATCTGTGGTTTCTGTTGGACATTGAAACTGTGTGTAGAACCTACTTGTACAGATTAAAAACAAGTCAAGAATAAACTTATGACTGTTGTTTTCTATTAGCAGAACTTGCGCCCACAACCTCAGGAACATTAAAATGAGGCACTGAGCAGTGCAGCCACTGCATACACAACTGTAAATAACTAAAAATGTCAATAAAAAAAGGATTTATTCAAAACAATGTTTTTTTTTTTGTTTGCTTTAGCTCAAATAAAATGTTCAGTCTTATGTGGTGGACAATGTTAGTGTTTTAAAAATCGTGTTGTTACCACTGAAACTGAGCCTTTGTTCTGTGTCTGGGTGTGTTTATGTGTTCATGAGGAGATATATAAGTGAAAGTGAAACAAACACTTCAGATTGCACCGTTCACCCTGAACAGCTGCACACAACCAAACTCTGCTARTAGTTCAGAGTTTTTGCTAAAATGGACGAATACCAGTATCCGTTGTTTTTTGAGGCCAGAGATCTGACCAACCAGGAGAAGAAGAAAATCAGAAGATACTTTCAGATAAAAAGAGATTCTGGAGGAGGGGACTGTTCAGCAATTGAAAAGGTTGAAGGCAACATCTACAAAGTCAGCTTCAAGGAGACACAAGGTACATGAGATTGGGATAAAAACAGGATATGTTTTCAGTTTTAGTAGAGTTGTAAATTTTATTTCATCTTTGCTCCTTTTARAGATAAGGAAAGAGTTTTGCAGAAGAAGTTTCACACRATTTCCTTTGCTGGTGAGGAACTACATCTAACAGTGAGCCAAAGTTCACCTCAAGCTCAAGACCAGCCATTGACAAGACAGTCTCAAGTGAGCTTTAGTGAATTTTTTTCTTCACAGAAATATAAAAACAGTTTAATGTCACAGAGAAAAAAAGCCAACTATGGACCAGACAATGATGTGGGACGTTTTGGTTTCACATTGAACTGGCCAGACCAGCTTCACAGCATGTTTAGCTCATACCTTTGTCCTTGTCAAATATTATGTGCTACARGACACAAAGAAAAAGAGGAGGAACTAACATTCTTTACCTTGAATCACTCAAAGGAATCTCCTTTTATAACATCTGATATTTAATTCCTGTAWGGGCTTGGCATTTTAATAGCTCCATTTCCTCTCACGTCTTGCTTACAGTCTTGCGTGATAGAAAATGAGTAACTTCCATCTTTTATCTCCAGCTGACGCTCCATTTTGCATTGGCCTTAGTCAGAACTGTGTTTTGCAAACCTATACAGTTTGCAGTGTGTGTGATTGGTCAGAACTTCGTGGGCATGTTTGTTTATGTGGAGCAGAGCATCCTTCTGCGTGTCAGTTCTGCTGAAAATGGTCCGCTCCCAGAAGTTAAAAATGGTAGCAAGAAAGTGTGACCATTGAAGCTCATGTGAACTCACTCTGTAAGAAGGCCCATCAGAGAATGTATTTTTATTGGAAGCTCTGTCATTTTAATGTTAATTCTACTTTTGTGAGAATGTTTTATTCATGTTTTATTGAGTCTCTTTTAACTTTTACTTTTATCAGTTGGTTTGGTATTTTAACATGTAAGAACAGGAACAAACTCTTGGGGATTGTCAGGATGTGCAGCAAAACTGCTGGTATAGACCAAGAGAACCTCACTGACCTCCACAAGGTCAGGTCATTGAAAAAGGCCAGTTTGATTCTGGCAGACCCTGATCATCCACTCTATGGTGAGTTCAGGCTGCTTCTGTCTGGACGCAGGTATCAGTTGACCAAATGTAGGACTAATACATTTAAAAACTCTTTTATTCCAGCAGCAGTTACATTTCTTAATGAACATCTGTGATTTTATGTTTGTGGATGAATGTATTTTTGTTCTGTTGTTTATATGTCTACTGGCTGTGCAACAAATTGCCCCTTTGGGGATTATAAAGATTCCTGAACTTGATGACGTAATCATTGGTCC